CTACCCGACGAAAACCTGGTTACTGAAAAAAATGTTTTAAAAATTATTCTATATATATCTGTAACTTTTTCCTTATATGTGTGTGTATGTATTTGTGTCTTTATACATTCATCATTCACAAAAAGAAAAAAAGGTACAATTTTTCTTAGAATTATCAAATAAATATAAAGAAGTCAAAAATATTATTAAAGCTCACCTTTGTTTTCTCCTCTCTGTGTGTGTAGAGCTAACAAAAAATAATGAGATTATCCAAACCAAATCAACTGAGTGTTTGGCAATCCAGTGGCGAACTTTGGATAACATCAGCGACCTCTACTGGACTCTAAGCAAGTGTGACCAGCCGGGAAGGTACATCTGTAAAAAGAAAGCAGTGGGTAAGCTGTCTGTTCTAACAGAAACCTTGATAATCCGTATTTTTTAAAATAAACATTTTACTTTCGGTAAAACTCATTAAAACCCTCTTTCTTATTATCCTACTATATGAAGATAAATGAAAGTTAATTCATATATTTTAGAGTTGAAAAAACTAAAATAAACCTATTTATAAATATTCTTTTTAATATCATTATTTCTTTGTTTGCAATTAAGCACAAAGCTTAATAACAAAGTGAATAACATGTGCGTTAAGAACATGATTTTATTTAGTTCGAATAAATTAAAAATAGACTCGCTTATAAAAGTATATACTTGTTCAATTAATATTGTATTCAAACCACCAGTCAAGATGGTCGAAGAAAAGAGAAGTAAGGTAATGATTGCGTATGAATAGCGGTATTGAACACTTTATAATGTTTGTTTGTTTGAACAAAGCTCAACAATGTGTTATCTGTGCTCTGGCCATCACGTGTATCGAAACCCGGTTTCTAGCGTTCTACGTCCGCAGACATACCGCTGTGCCACTGGGAGGCTTTTAATATCAAATTACTCATTACACCTGATATTTATAGACTGCTGAAAGTACACGAGGTGTATTTAACATGCAGTACCATCATATCATAATGTTTTTAAAAAAAATGATTAAAGATCTTTTAAAATTGTCTCCATAGTGTTCAATCCTAACACAAATTTCGACTTCAAAAAAAAAAAAAGACATAAAATGAAATGCAAGTGGTCCCCCTTCTTGATCTATCACCAATATTTAAAGTTTTAAGATCAGGTAGATGTAAATAGATCGAATTGTAGATTTTTTTTTTCATTTGCCAAAAAATAACTAAACGAAGTTTTTATAAGATATAATATATGAAGTAGAATGTTCAGATTATTATGTTACATTGGAGAAAATGGGTGCAAACTGAATATCAGGTTAGAAGAACATTGTCACCACCTATCTCGTGCATTTCAACATTTTTTGTGATAGTTTTACAGAAGGCAAAAAAACACAATAAACGTAAAAATTAAATAAACTACTACCACAATCAAACACATGAATAAAATAAAGGGGGGGGGGGTAACGTGTATGTATTTTAATATACTTTAATCACATGACTATACCAATTGGGTGTAATTAACGTGCAGTGCCATCGATGTGCTTGTCACGTTAACGTTGCGAAATGTAGTGCTGTTTTATATTCTTCCTTTTTAAACCTCGTTTTCCCTTTATTCTTAATAGTTGTTCTCTTTAACACCCTTTGATTGACAGTAAACCGAAACAATTCTTTATTTTTATCTTACTTGTTGTCAGAACTAAATAAAGAAAAGTTGTCTTTGTTAGATTTAAATAGCAATAACTGAGCACATCATCTAGAAATAGGAACGTATCAGAAGCCAATATATACATATACGATTGTATTGTTATATTAATAGTTTTATACCTATTAAGTATAATTTGATTATAAATAAGCTCTATAAAACGAGGTATCATTATTTTCATAAAGAAATAGAAAGTGTAAAAAAAAATGGTTTTCGTCTTTCTTTACTTTAAAACGTTTTCTAAATGAAGTGTACTCCCCTCGTAAAGTGGGTTTTGATGTGCCGTATGCTGAGAAATACGATAAAATATATTTTAATTTAGACTATCCTCAAATTCTACTGTGTATAGCCTTAAAATCATCATTGAGAACCTTTTTGAAATAAATGATAGAATTAGTAAACTTCAACGTTTTTTTATTGTTTTTGATATGAACGGGATTAGTCGGTTCAAAACACGAGTCGTTTAGAACAGTGTTTTAAAGGAGCCTCTGAAGCTCACTGTTATTTATAGTGATAGGCGGTTTATTTTGTTCGTTTGATTTACTGAGACGAAACCAACACCTCTAGACTTAAGGCAGTTAGTGTTTTGAGTAATAGCAAAGTTATTTAATACAATTTTGAAAATAACTCTCTAAAAGGTCATGACATGTGCACTTTAACCTCCCCGCAGCGAAAGGGTTAACTGCCCGCTTTATCGTGTGTCCGTATAGAGAACAAGACTAAAGACACTGCCCTTTATCCAGAATATCGAGGTGCCCATTATTGCACGATTTATTTTGATTACAAACAGTAGAAAAAAGAAAGAGACTGAAAAGATCTGTCCTTAATGGCGTGGTGTCCGTTAATCGAGGTTCTACTGTATAAAAGATTCCCTTCCCGCATAAATAGTAATTGAACTCTCTGTATTTTCTTCCCTACAATTGTAGTTACAATTTTAACTGGTTCGGGCTCCCCTTTTGGCTCGGGCCTTCCCCCTCAATAGCAGGAGCTGCGGGGGCATACTTACGCCAGTACTCAAAATCTTTGTTTTTTTGAAGTATTTTTTTATTTATTCTTCTATGTTTAATAAACCTAACTAAAATTTAAGCACTTGTGAATAAAGAGTATTTATTGGTTGATGAATAAGTTTACTGAAAGAGGAAATAAGATTTTATAACCATGCGAACAAATATCTTTGTATACCCATGTGGTATACCGCTAAATTATAAACATCCCAGAAGGATGACCAATATTCAAACACTTGTGATGTTTATTGGATCGGCTCCGAACCATATACTGAAATAAACATTTTCACAGATACAATCTTATTACTCTGGGGAATTCTGTTTGTAAACAGTGTAGGATAAATAAGCTGATAAATTCCACTACGAATGTTAGCAAGTATATAAAACTTACTGTCTAAATCCGTAATAAAACTATAAAAGTTATTATATTTTACCTTTTCTTCTGATTTCTTTTTTGTACATCTTTTAGTTTTAAAGTCCAAAGGATTTAAGAATGTAGAAATTTTCTTTTTTAACTTGTTTGTTTCTGTTAAAGA